GAAAAGGGAAGAGAAATTCTACCTGGAAATCTCTAAGTACTAGCCAATTTCCCCTCCAAATAGGACAGAAAGCAGGAGTTAGTCGCTCAGCTTTAGCCCTCCAGCCTCGCTGGGAGTGATATATACAAGAATTGGAGAGATCTATTTTGGCAAAAAACCTTATCTTCTAAACTCTAGGAAAGTGACTCCCCTCATTTCCTGGGGGGATGGAACCAGCTTTACCTTTCCACTGACTGCCCTGTGCTCACCTTCACAGAGTCCCACACCCTCAGCCCCACACATGTCTTTGAGCCTGGCTTTGTTGGGGAGCAGATCCGGAAAGACCTTTCTTATTTCTACTCTTCCCATTGCTGTAACCTCTCCCCACCTCAGTAGCAGCAATAGTCCCTGCTCATTGCAGAAGGCTTGGACTAGATGACCTTTAAAGGTCCTTTCCAACCCAAACTATTCTATGATTCTATAATAGTATCATGACTGAAGCTTCCCATTCTCTCTCAGTCTCTTTAGCCTCCAAACTGCAGGCTACCCACTCCAAAGTTCTTGGCAATAACTCTTCTCTAGTGAAGGGTGTCAGTCACTAACTTTCCGTATGTCCCAACACTTCCCTGTGCACCAGCAAGAGCTTGCCCTGTAGCAAGCTCTCCCTCTGTCCTCTAAGTACCCAAGCATCTTCACTTTTCACGCTAGCTGTATGAGGAAAACAGACACAGTCTCTCTCTTTCTGGGAGTGAATTATCACCATTAATTGCAAACACTGTCTGACACCGTCTGAAGCTACCAGCACTGTCTTATTTGGCAAACATTTGGGCTGACATTTTCCAAGACAGCTTTCCAGAATTTTTGGAAAGTTCAATCACAACAGTTCAACTGTTACAGAAGGCAAGGTTCAGGAAAATTAAATCACTCCTCAAGTTAAATAAACAAACAACTTAAGCATTAGTGGAACCTATTTCTCCTTTTTCCTCTCTTCCCTGTAGGCTTGCTTCAGAGCAACAGTCAAAAGTTTGGCAAAAGCACCGGCTTTATTCCAGGACACGCGTCAGCATCTCAGCATGAGACTCTGGAAGAGCCAGAAGAGGGGGTACAACCTAGCTTGCTCAATGCAGGCATTCACTAAGGCCTCCTTACCACAAAAATGATGAGTCAGAGGATGCTGAGATCCACACTACAAAAGCCCTTGTTGATTATGTCCTCTCTGGGTCACAGACAGAACTAATGCTGGTGTACCTCTTGTCACCCTCCTTGGATAGCAACAGATGTTTGTGCAATGGGCACATAGCAGGTGGAACACAAATACATAAGAGTTAGTTGAAGTGGTACAGTTTGGAGGCAGACCAGCCAGCATCTTTTAGTCTGTTTATACGACGCAGGTTTGGTAGGGGAAAACAGTTTCCAAATGACAAGGTCTAGAACACCACAAACCTACTGGAAGTCAATAGTGGCCTTCACTTCCCGGAACACAGAACATGAGGTGCCAGGAGTTAGTTACCCTACACACTGAGGGAACAACATGAAGCCCCTCCACAAGTAGTCCAGAGGGTATCTCTTCATTCTCTTTTAGAAAGAGACACTGCTTTTGCCACTCAGCACTTTCTCTATGGTGGTTGGGAAGACCAGGTAGAACCCTGATGCACTATTCCAACCAAAGGCTATAGGTGCTATAAGGAGATGCAAGAACATAGTCAGCACTTGGCATAAAAATAAAAAGCCCAGAGCAAGCCCACAAAATAAGTCAAAGCAAAATACCCTCAACACAGACAGCAACAACCCAGTCTCCAAGAGGAAGGCTAGTCTCATGTATAAGGCAGATGAACATCACACTAAAATGCTGCTATGTCTGTGTAATGCTAAGCAAATAACTTAGAATTAATTATATAAATAAATAAATCTTTGTTCGCAATGGGTGCCTGACTGGAGTGTTGTTAACTCTTGGTTGCAAGTGAAATTAAAGGGATTTTACTTTAAATGTGAAGAAAACTGCACTAAAAGTCAGAACCTGGTTTTGCAGAACATTACGCATCTCACATTAAGCACCCAAAAATCAGCAGATGCTTTTCCTATAATCTGTCTGCCTTGATTACCTGTGGTTAGTGAACATACCATCCTCTCATCTCACAGGAACATTGCAAGGATGATTAAGACCTGTGTAGCATTCCAACTGTATTTGGAGTTAATGGTCACACCAAAAGGAAATGAGTACTTTTGTACTCAGAGCAGAGTTTGCAGTGTCCTGTAAATAAGGTGTACACATACCTCTCAAGAAAGAATACTGAAGCCAGCGAGTATCATTCACTATATACACTGAACAATGCAAGAGGCCCGTAGCAAAAAAAGGACCTGATTGCATAATTGGAAGTTACTATAAAGATTCAAGACAAGGCTATAGGCACAAGGCAAGGCTGGATGACCACAGTAATTTCTAAACTTCTGAATGACTTCACAGTCTTAATATTTTGTCAAAGTGGTGTATATAGTGCATGTGTTGTGTTGTTACATACAGTTAACTTGATTTCTAGACTCTGGACACAGAGCAGACACACTGCTCAAAGATAATCTAAATTTTTCAGAAGTAATTGCAGGCACCTAAGAAAGGAGTAAAAGGGCAAAGGAGACAACTATACAAGCAAACACATGTAAACAAAAAAAGTTTTCTGCTAATCAAGAGTAGTGAAAAAGAAAACAGAAGAGACATACACCCTGGTATTTCTGGTCCAACATACTTTATATGCTTGGGTCAGCACAGTGTGTTTGACACTTAATTTTGTCACTGATGACTTTTCCACTACAGCTGAAAACATAACTACAGTAAAAGCCATCTAACAACTCGCGATGACAGAAAGTTTAACTTGTTTGGGAAATACTGCCACCCTATATAAATTAGTCTCTTCCTCCTTGTCATGGACCATCCTTCATGACTGGCATTGTCATTTGTGGACTAATTACAAACAGGATGAACTGAAGTGGTTGAGGTTCACAATTAAAAGTCTAATCTGTATCAGGACACCTCTTTCTTTTGGAAGCCATAAAACATCTTTTTACAGTCAGAGAGAAGAAAACATCTATTTACGTTAAAAACCTATTTTTAAAAAGGCAGCCTTCTAGCATTATTAAGGTAACTTTGAAATTAATTACTATTAAATGCTTATGAGGAAATACTCAAACAAATAAAGAACAAGATTTAATATTAGGCAATGTCTCTTCCAGGCCTTCAGTCACAGGCACTATGGCAACTGGTTCTTTGAAGATAACTCTCAGCCATCTATAGCCACATAGCATTTTCACCCTGAAAAACATAACCTGGAAATCTCAAGCCAATATTAAAATGTTCTTGGAGCTTTTCAATTTACTAATGATCATTTCTTCATTCAAAAGCCTCTTACATATCACAAGAATTCTCACCTTGAAAGATAAAAAAGCATCTCAGAATTAACAGACTAAAGCATAAGCAGTTAACTAGATTCCATTCTTTAGAGTCACATAAAATTAAGCAAACATCAACAATATATGTACTTGATAATGCTTTAAGGGATCTTGAAAATGCATTTTTATAAATGAGAAAGAAGATCAAGAACATTGCCTCAAATAGGCTTCTTAATCTAACATTCATACTAGAAAAATTAAAGCAGCATAGGATAGCACACTAACCAATAAAGAGTAATGGAAGAGTGTATACAATGAATGCTAAGTAGCAATGGTTTGTGGAACTTGGCAGACTCTTGAAATTGTTTTGATGGAAGATAAATAAAACTGTCTGATAAAGGTGATAGTGTTGATTTACATGTACAGTGATATCTGTAAAATATCCATCTTCTTCTCCCATGACATCTTAATTAATAGAACAGAACAATATAGAGCCAACACATAAGTTAAACCACTTAAATGACAGATTTCAAAGTGTCATTTACAATGTGGGAATTCAAGGTTGTTTGGCTACACTTTCTCAGAAATACAGTAGGAAGGAAGTGACAGTTGTCTTCATGCTATTAAGCATTTTTAGGAATGACTTGGGGAAACTGAAAGTTTGCAGATGACAAAGATATTCAGGGAAGCAGCAACTTGTGATTGAATTGCTCTACAATCTAGGAAGCAAAAGGATAAAGAGAAACAAAGGTTGAAAGTCAAACAGATTAATTCAAGCTGAAACTAAGACATTTTGACTGTGAAGACAGCAGAGTCAATAGTTATTTACCAAGGCAAGCAGCAAACTCTCTACTAAGACTATTTTAAAAACAAAAATAGAAGTTTTCCTTAAGCTCCAAGCTCTAGCCATGCTACTGAACCTGAAGCAAAAATAAAGCAAGATAGCCTGAAGGTTCACATCAAACCACAGGTCAGGCTAGGTGGTCCGTTCTGAACTTTTTATCTACCATAATTGATTATATATAGCTATATTATATAGCTATATAGTGATTGATTATATATAGCTATTTAGTGAATAGTCAAATTTGCTATAAGAAGTGGCCAGCTCCCAGCCAAAGTCACCGTACCTCGGAGCTGGCAGTTTTAATCTCTCTCATTCTATTTTCACAGGGCGAAGGAAACAGACCTTATATTCTAGATGTTTTATCAAAGCCTTTAACCTACCCCAAATAACTCTTATTTCCCTTGTGAAAGGCAACGACAACCCAGATACACTGATGCATGAACATCATAGTGTAGAATGTTTTTTTCCCCAGAGTCTCCTTTCCAAAATATCTCATATTTAGAGACTCTCTCAACAGAAATTAATCACCAGTTCTCTCCATTAAAATTCACAAAGGGTGAAGAACTGAGGCTTAAAAATCATCCACACAACACTCATCCCTGAAATTTGGGCTTAGTATCAACTAGAAGCCTCAATTTAGCTTTAAATACACAGTATCGATCAGGCACTGCTATATTATGTTAGGTAGTCTGCCCTACAGTGCTGGTAGTCCCCATCTTCGCTCCCTGTTAAAGCAGTCTACCCCTTGCAAAGCTGCAAGGCTTTGCTAACTCCAAAAAGGCAGGAAAGGACTCACTGATTTTGTAGATTCCAGAGACCCTGAAGATAGGGTGTCTCGGCTGCCCCGACTCTTGGAACTGAGATGGGGTGAGGATGATGGCGAGTCATCAATATAGGGCATCATATCATGATGTCGCCTCTGTTCTTCAGCACGGTCTGCATCATACGCATAGCTAGGTGGTGTGCCACTGAATGAAGCATCTGTAAAACACAGGAGAAAAATCTGTCTGGTCAGAGTCAAGCTGGACAGGAGATAGGCTGGTCAACCAAGACACAGCCTGCCTCCCAGCTATTATGATTACTTATCAGTAAACCCAGAGTCAGTAGTAGTTAAATATAGATCAAGTGGAGGCGTAAATTTAATTAAACTCATGCTGTCACCAAACATTCACTTCACTCATTCTAAGTCCTAAAAGGTAAAGTCCCTTCTAATGTCTAACATCGGTGTTCATTTAATTACAGCTCCTTCCCTCAAGTTTTCCTTCAAAAGCATTAGCATCAAAATAAATTATTTTGCAGGCTCCATAAAAGTTATGCAGTCGGAGTTTAGGAATGTAGTGGGTTAGGGTAACAGACCCTGTTTTTTCTGTAGAACAGGAACAGATGATGCCCCTGCCAGTTTAGCAATCATAGATAATACATAGCTGAGGGGAGAAGCGTAACTCTTTCCAGACCTCTCAGGAACAAGAGGACTATGAAAGAAAGGTCTTATGTGTCAAGTGAACCTGCCTACTGCCAAAATAAAATCCTAAGAGGCCCTCTCCTATTGGCTGCCGCTCCTCCTCAATTTTGAGACTAACTCCTTAAACAAAGGAATAAACCACCACCTGGCTCCCTCCTATCCTGTCCTCTCTCCCCACCTCCAAAAAAAACCCCAAAAAAACCCAAAACCCACAACCAGAAAACAAACAAGAAGGATGGTGGTATGAAGAGTCAAATTAACCCTTATTGCATGAGATATCAATGAACTTCTGCGGGAAAGGTAAGTAGTAAAATTGGTTCTGGTATCTTTAATAGCTGCGCACAGAGACTGTTTCTGCAAAAAATCTATATTAAGGACACACACTGAGCAGCTCCCTCTACCATAGGTTAAAAGGTCTTTTACCTCTCTGCACAAGAAATATACACAGAAGACCAAAATCTGCTTTCTACACAGTGGCACTGCATCACATACGTCTTGCCTGAGAGAAGCTGGAGACAACCTTACGTACAAGTTACATGTGCCTGTGAAGCACTTTCACCTGTCAATGCCCAGGAGTGTCCTGTGTGTAACAGTGATCACCATGCACGGGCCACTGAACACAAAGTGGTGGAGTTCCTCCTCCTCTTTCAGTTACAAGTCGCAAAATGCCACTCTTCTCCCAAAACTGAAAAATAACCACAGGGAGATAAGCTAGGTCCACTTTTACAGTAGCAGGCAAACCATGTGGAAGACAAAGCCACAAAACAGAGAATAGCTTTTTTGTCTTATAAGTTTAAAATTACACATTAAATTCACACTTGAACACAAGTAGAATCAATTTTTACTTGTTTTCACAGTATATCCAGGTTCTGTGAAAATAATAAGCAGCAGCTGCCAAGCATACTAATAATCCTGTTATACATCACTAAGGCAGGGTGGAGGAGTAACATTTTAAAGCCCACTTTCCTCCCTCACAGTAAACTCAGTTAAAGCATGACTCATTCCAGTAAAGGATGTGAACTTTGCGTGGAACAGAATAAAACTTGATCCATGTGGCTTATTCAGGAGTGAGAGCCGGTCTATGGAATTTACACAAACAATATACTGAAAATCCAACAATAAACTCACTGTAGACATGAGCCTCTGTCTCAGTTTGTACCAAATACCACCCAGCTAAATAACAGCTGTATACGAGGCCTTTAGGCTGCTGAAGGACCATGGCAGTATTATTTTAACAAGCTCAATGAATTTTATATCACCCACCCGCTCATGGTATTACCTTATGCTCAAACTCTCAGAGTTCCTCAAAAGACTCATTAGATTGTGCAAGACCACAGGAATGGGAGAGGAAGAAAAAAGAAAAAAAAACAACAACAACAAAAAAAAAGGTGGTACATGCTCTAGGGAAGGGACTCTTGTCTAGATGTTAAGGATCTTCCAGAGCTCCCCAACCATTTAGAAGACACCTTATTAAGTTGATTTTGTAAATGGAGGCTTGAAAGGGAGTTGCTGAAATAAGGATGCTCAGTCACAAACAAAAGATTTTTAGATATCCCAAAGTTGGACGATGTCTACAACACCGGCAAACCAAACAAATTTCATGCTGGAATTTTCAGAAGTGGAAGAGAAGACAGCATGGCCCCGACCTTGCACTACATAAACAAGCAAGGAAACACTGAAAAGAAAAAGTAAAAATACCCTCCTAACACACAAGATGGATGGTCTTCTGTTTGGCCAGAAGGTTAAGGGATTGTTTTGACTTCAGAAACCAGAATTATAAATAGGAAGGAGGATGGGTGTCTCCTTGCACCTCTGCGCTATTTATGCCATATAAAATAAAAAACAATAATAAAAAAACCCCCAAAACACTAACATCTTATAATGTCATTGCAGATATCTGTTTTCCAATCAGCTCTCTCTTGTGCAACTTTCTAACCCAAGAAGCCTGCAAGATATTACTGAAAATTTAACACTGGGATTATCCAAGGAGGAACATCAGTACTGGGCACTTATGGAGGCTTCATGCCTTTGATCAGGTAAGAGTTCTTTTTCCTTCAGAAGGTTTTTTCAAACTACTCTTATCCAAACCTGTTTCTCCTGCCCACATGCAGTAACAAGTCCATGTTGCTTTGCAGAAATTAAGGCAGGAAAATTTCTTTCACTCCCAAAGCTCACTTTCAAAATTTATATTTTGCTCCCCTTCTGTTAATGGGGGAGTGAATGCAGACTAAAATATATTAGCAGAAAGGCTTGCAGTGAATCACAGTATTTTCACTTTCCTCACTTTCTCCTGCTAAAAAGCAGGCTTCACTACTTCTACCTTCCCTGCTGCACAGGGAAACCTTTATCTGAAACTGAAGGGAAGGGCAGGTAGAGGACTTGGGCTCAGAAGAGGAGATTTATTCCTAGCTTTGCAACAAGATTCAGCCTACCTTTGAATCACTTTGTCTCCCTATCCATAAAAATGAAAATAACACATCTCGGCACAGAATGAATTTATCAGTGTCACCGACTGCCATGAGATCTGTGCATAGAAAGCTCCACACAGAATTTAAAACTTTATTTCTGTATCCTCCAGGGATCCTTCACACATTAAAAAGCTTAGAAGTAGTTATAATCCTTCTTCCTTCTATTATTGCTGCATACAGCACCAAAATCCACCTATGGAGACTTTAATTATCTCCAAGGCAGAAGGCCCTTCATGCTTTTATTCTACCATTTTCTCCCAACAGAAGCAAAGTATTACCGTAGCCAGATACGCTACTCAAGTCTTAACACTAATAACAGAGGTAGACTTGCATCTCTGTGATTAGAGACCACTGTTGCTAGGGAAACTAGATTATTCATTCAGATCTCCTAAACCCAGCACACTGCTGCACAGGCTGTTCAGGCTCTACCTGGGAGCAAAAAGACTAGAGCAAAGAGATTACAGGCAGGAGCTCACCTACTCAGACACTTCCAGCTGCTCTGGGTGCTGCTATTGTAGATGGTAAGTGGGGACAGCAGCTAGGCTGGGCCCAAGCAAGAGCCCTTGGTTTCTTAGCCAGTGTCTCAGGTAGGGTAAGCATTAAGAGGGTTCTTAGTCTCCTTTTAGGGCCAGCCAGTAAGCCACCAGTAACCGAGACATCAAAGCCAGAGAAAGATGAAACACAGGAACAACAGACAATTGCTGACAAGCGTCAACTAAGGAAAAAGCATAGGCATACAAGGATGATGGGCTGAGACATTTGAGAGAATACCAGAGAGAGATATTGAAGACATGACTCCACATGTGTCATGCTTCTCTCACCTCACCAGCAGGCCCCCTTTCTCCTCCTCTTTGGGTTACCTGTAACAGATCCCATCCCACAGAGAAGAACAGCTGTGACTTACAGAAACGAGCGCTCTCAGCACTTAAGACTAGCTATTTCTGCTGGCCCTCTGATATTCCCTTAACAGCACTCTTCTCCTGCATTAGCATGATCTTCAGGTACAATGAACTACAAAGGCTCATCATCAAGTCACAATTCTGCTAAAGACCTCAAGCATTTACTTCCACCTTTGGTTCTGACAGCAATGGCCTCCTTGGCCTTGCTTTGCTTCAGCTTTTATGAGTCTGTTCTACCACCCCCTCCGCAGCTACTGCTTCCATCCTCTCACCTCCTTTCTGATCTCTGCCCCCTTTTTGTTTTCTTTTGGTTTTCTCAAACTTAATATTCCTTTTGTTCATTTTCCTGACCCTCCTCTCTTCTAAACTGCTCTTTTCTCTCACAGTCTCAAATTTCACCTGGCTGAGGTATAAGGAAGAATCGAACAAATTTACAGTTAGTCACAAATTTCACTGGCACTCAGAAACAGCACAGCAACACTGTTCCCTTGTCCTGTTGCCTACACCCTTCCTGCTGGGTGCCACATCCATTCTTTGGGAATATGAAATCAAGTCATAGATCTAACTTGAAAGCAGCAAGAGAAAAAGAAATTAACTTATAAGTAAAAAAAAAAAAAGATTAGCTGCACCAGGGCCACACAGAGGTTCAAACGCATGTTGTCATACTTTCACAGCATCACAACATCCATAGCTGCTTGAGGGGCTTAGCACCAGCATGCAGAGAAGCTTCCTAAACTAGCTGTGCTCCAGTTAATCCTGCTGCAAGAGCAGCGAAGCCACAGCAGCTCAGACCTGCCTGCCTCAGTAAATACCTAGGATCCTGGAGGGAGAGGGGGCGTTGCACCTCCTGCCAAAGCCCCACATCACTGTGGCTTTGTTGTAAACGGTACCAAGGCTAGCACAAGTTTGTAATGTCTATACTCACTCCAAAAACATTCCCGCAGCTGCAGAGCAGAAGAGAGCTAAGGCATTTTGCAGCCTCTGACTGTGTGTTTCTAAGCCAGGGAATGTGTGAGGCCATAGTTTGACAATGCATTGTCTTGGCAGCAATAGGGGTTTTAGGTTTCCCCCACCAAGCCATAAACCACTGCATGGCCCTTTCCCCTCTTATCCCTTTAGTTCTGCAATCCCACAGATGCCTATGGTCCAGAT